GGTAGGTTTATACATAATGGTATGCAATTATGAGAATGATACCACAACTTGGATTTATTTACATTCTATATGAAATGAAACATGTAACATAACAGTAGTATTAATTATATAGAAGCCAAAATTATTTAGTAGTGTTAACACCTTAAAATGGTTAACTATATTTGAACACACCTTGACAAGTAATGATAAACTTAACCTACATTAGGCAAAACATCAACATCTTATCATCAAACATATTTAATACTAATTAAATTTGGTTGTCACGTTTGGTTCAACCGAGTATAATCTGATTCTTCAACTATAGTAGTAACCAACGAAAAAGTTGCATAGAATTATCGTAAAATAAAAAAAAAAAGGGAACGTAAAATATACCTATAACATTCAATTAAAAACAAACTTTTTTGGTAACAAAGAACAAACTATTTTTCAGAAAAAAGAAAAATACAAAGAACAAACTCCCAAGCTAAGCTCACCAGTTTCTAGATCAAAATGGTAAATTCCAAATCGTTATAAGAATTACAATGAATCTGTAGATCAATATGTCACAAGTAAAAAATAATGAGCAAGTTGCCAAAAAGAAAAATTAAAAAGAGCAAGTTGCCAAAAAAGAACAAAGTGAAATAATGTGCAAATTTAACCAACCAGATAAACAATGCGATTCCACCAAACCGAAGAATTCCAGTGAATTGGAAAGAAATTTATTGTTTCTAACTTTTGTCCTCTCTATGTTTCGATAACTTTGGTAAGAAAATAAAAAAGAAAGATACAAATCTTATTTCTTTAAATTCTTCCCCCTACCTTTTCACTTTTGTTACATATATATATATATCCCTTTTCTTTTCCCCAATCTCAACCATTTACAATTAAATTGATTTCCCCCTCTCAAACCGAACCAAACCGGTTCAAAACAATAGCAGAATTCCAAAGAATCAAAGAAACCAAATGAAAAAAGAAATAGAGTAAAAAATTAAAAATTACTTCACCGGTTTTAATTCCAATATCTTTTTCTCACTTTTCATTTCTGGTTAAGCAATTTGGACCTCTTCCTAGCTTCGCTATAAAGAACCACTCCCATAATCGTGACTCCAAATCCGGCAATCCCCATCACCGTCACCGGATTCCTAAATATCAGAACCGAAACTCCGGCAGCCACCGCGGCTTTTCCGTTTCCCAAAACCTGCAAAGTGAGAGCACTTGTGTGCTTTGTCACCAAGAAATTCGTCAAATTTACTAAATATGCAACTGTTGCATTCCCGGCAAGCAAGAAGATGATCAATGGATCCGTCCTCGCCTTTTCGATTAGGATCCTTAATACGTTTCCTTCGATGTAAAGCGTAAATGGTAGTAAGATACAAGCTGCCATTGGAGCCATGTAAAGCAAAAGATTCATCGAATGTAGCTTCTCGGATTCCGACGTCAGAATAATCCCCTGCACATACACATACATTTCGATTAAACCAAACCAAACCGAGAAAACATAGA